GGGTCGTCGGGGTGTTGGGTCTGCCCAATCTCTCGCTGTCTTGAACACTTGTTCTGCCGTTAGGGTACATTTGTACCCACTCTCGCACTTTCCGTTCAATCATACACATGCTACCATACTAGGCCTTCATTCTTCCGTAAATTTCGGTAGCATTGAAATCCTCAACCACAGAAAACGAAACACAGATCACTGTTCAATTTTGGTGCATGTCTCCAGTGGTACCGCCATTTTCTAATCTCCGGTGCCTATCCTCTCGTGGTAAATGATAAAATTAATTCATTCGTTAATTCAGGAGTCAGGAGAGTTAGTGATATCAAGAGGCGATTCTCGGACTTAACTGTCGTAACTGTCTCGGTCGTAACTGTCGTACCTAGAGAGGGGAATGATGGTCCCGTCTCCCTCTCGCGAGACAGAACAAAAAACTATTAGGAGCTTGAGGGGCGTGAGGGATTGGGAGGGATCGAGAGGGAGGGGAGGGAGTGGATCTAAAAATCATGGGGTTGGGCGGAACCCGCCAGCTCATCCCGTGTATCGATCAGAACAAAAAAACCGAACCAATACATACGAAACGCATTAAATAATTATGTGAAGAATGAAAATTTGAAAAAATTGTGGGAAATGAAACAGGATGGGTTATGCCATTAAATCCCTCGCCCTCGTCGTTCGAAGCGAACGGCTTAGACCGCAGAAGAGGTGAAAGGGATCGTTGATCGCAAATCTGGATTAACCAAGCACGATGATGGGAATGGGAGTGGATGACACGACTCTTGTATGCCGCGTTTACCAAGATCGTTAGAGACAGGTCTAGGAATCCCGCCTATGGCATTTCCCGGAAAGGGAAAGTTTCCCTTCGGTAGGTTGATGCTGCCATGGGGCGATTTTGCTTTTAGTAGAGTTTTTGTCCGAATGTGCTTCTCCCGATTTTTTTTTTTACCTTATCTGCAACTCTTGGACGAGGTGGATATTTCGAGAGGCGTTCAAGAAGTTTTGGCGACACATTTTAATCGGCAAAAGTTAAAACGCCATTACTCGCACATCCCCTGAGAACTCTCCATACATCCACGCAACATTGCATCCTTTGTGATTAACGCTTTAATAAATGTACAAGGTTATCGACCTGAGACAGACTTCGCAGCTCTGAGTTAGACGTCACTAATGAATGTATACAAATTTACTCCCAGCAAGTCTTGATTTGAAAACTGAAAATAATCTCTGATAATAATCTGAGAAAATTTGCCTAGTAGCCACAAAGCCAATATGCTGGTAGACAAATGGCCTCGACGCATGGCTTGCCGAAACGGAACGTTTTGCGAAATGAGTCCTTCGCCAAAGCTTTCAATTCACAGCTTAAGATCACACCACAGTATAAATGCCGTGGATGTTTTTCTAAATATCTGATGAGAATCCAAAGTTGTGCGGACGTTGAGAGAAAACATTAAAGGGATGTGCAAGAATGAAGCCTATAATTTTAACCCTCTCCCCTCGTTTGTCGAGCTGGGTTCGTCATCGGTCGTAGCGTTGCGGAAAAGACGGAGTGGAAAGGGTTAATGTCGATTCATGATGTTTTGAAAGGGCATTGAAGTGCGGCAATGCGCTTATCAGCGATGAGCAGAGGCTTAAGACCAATGAAGCTGCAGCCCCCGGACCCTTCGTCAACCGCTGGAATGCGTTGCGTACAATGAGCTGAATTCACCTCTTACATTGAAGAATACGATGATTCGTATTTGTCTAGAGTAATCATTTGTTTTGGAGCTTGAGTGATTCGCTGCAGAGAGTATGCATTTGAAGCGTTGGCAACGTTCAGGAACATTTTATTTTACTTTCATGCTGTGACGGAGTGACCTTGCGTTAGTATACGCTTACTGTGCGTTCTTATCTTCAGCAGTTGTATCATTTTCAGCAAATAAGAGCCGTTGAGAATACAAATCGCCAATAAAATCTGTGCACTACTGATGGTACATGCTGGTTACCTGAAAATCTGTCCATGTACCACCTGTGGTACACAAGGTCGCGAACGTGTGGAAAGAATCTGAATTCATCGATTATAGCTGATTATTTTGTAAATTAGAGGAAATGATTGGTAAAAAAATTTATTGAGCAGAAAAATTTATACTCAGATTTGCAGGTAAATTCTTTATTCGCATTTACAATTATACGTCTTTCTCACGATTGAAGAGGTGCAGCAAGCAGTGTGCGTGAGGAAAAAGCGAGATCCGCCTTGGGATCGCCTCCCAATGACGCCATCTATATATATATAGACGATCGTGAGTGAATGAGTGACTGACGCTGATTCTAACCATGTTCTAGATGAGGTAGAAATCTGAAACTTGGTAAATAAGTACCTATTGGGAAGCAGAGTTCAGAAAAAATTAGACTTCGGAGGTACATGCTCTGGGGCACCCATTTTGAGGAGACATGTTTTCAAAGGAATAATTTTGTTCAGTCAAACGGAGAGACATGGAAAACTGAAACTTGGCATAGACGTGCTTATTGAGACATTCAGTTCAGGAAAAATGTCAAGTTTCAGATGCATGCTCGGGGGGCATATTTTACGGTGGTGGCGTTCTTAAAGAGTTTTTTTTTGTCCTAGTGAATTGGGTAGAAATAGAAAGGTGAAAATTGCCACATGCATAACTGACAATGTTGAGTTCAGGAAAAATTCATATTTTGTGGTGCATCCCNTACTGCTACAAAGTAGCCAGGTAACAACTAACTCACGACTTAGCTGTCAGAACCTCGAGAGTAACCTCCAACACGTCCTCACGCTACGAACGCTCGACCAAGACTCCATCAATGATATCCATCAATTCATTCATCAATGATAAATGGTGACACCTACCCTCAGAGCACTTTGTCGAGGAGTGAAAGAAACTTGAGAAAAATTATCGACCATTACTTTTTTGATCCACCCTCGTATTTTGCATGCCAAATCGGAAGGGGGATGAATTTCCAATGCCCTTCTTTTGTTATGCAAAATATGTCAAAACCCTCTACAGATTACCATACCGGCATAACTTCCGAAACTTCTGTTTTCGAGAAGTGGATGAAACATATTTGTCTCCAGTCTTCCCAGGAAAAAGAACGCAATTGCGATGGATGATATCGTATTCCAGGTTCGAAGCAACAATATTCTAATAATATTCCTGGTATATAAGGTCCATGGTTGATACGAGCGGTGTACAGTGTATGACAATAAAATACTATTAATTTTTAACTAAACCAGTTCTCATTGGAGCTGCTACGGTTACAAAACTTTTACTGTGCATAGAATGATATATTCCCAACAATCTTTTGAATTTTCATTCAATATGATTCTGCCAAAGCAACGCCATGATCGATTATTCTAATGAAATCAGATATTGAAAACGGGCTCGAGACTAAAATCCCTGAGCGCCTCGTCCTCCTGCTTCGTTCTTTGATGAAGACTAAGGGAATATCTGAATAAACTATGAGTAGACTGTGTGGATATTCATTGATTGGTCATCAATTGGAATAAAGTTTTTAGAAAATATTTGCATGAAAAGACCTGCAAAACAAAATTAATTTCGATGAAAGGGAAGTTCGATGTGGCCTGGATGATATGCAAGCAGAGAACTCAGGAGCAATCCTCCACTGTCCTTCACTAGTCCTTCACAAGTCCAGCACGAGCGCTTGCTCATTTTCATTTTCAAACTCTTCTGTAATCACAACTTATAGCCTTGTCTCGGAACAATTAATTTGGAAAATTTTTTGGAGATATGGTCAAAACATGTACATCTATGCGCAGTGGAAGTTTCGTGAGAACATCTCGATTGGTAAGAGAATTGATTACAAGTCCTCGGCCTTCTTTTGCCATACCCTGTATTTCCTTTTTCAGTAGTCAGAAGCCACCAGGGGACCATGAATAACACAATCCAGTCTGCGAGAAACCGCAACATCTGCGTCCCATCTAACTTGAATCGAGAAACAAATCATCCTCCCGGATGCCCTCAACTTCAGTAGAAAGGAACTCCATCCGGAAAGTAGCGGATGAGAAAGCAAAGCAAGTGACATTCTGCTCGTACAAATACCGTCGTGTTCAATCGAACCGATTCGGAGAATCTCGTAACCCTCCAGGGAAGGATCTCACGAAGGACGTCACGGAGCTAATCCGAGAACGAGAAATAATCGCGACTATTTAGAAAAATTGCGTGAGGCATGCGTGCGACATGCACGAGGAGAAGGATAAATATTCCTTTGGATTGGACTTCTTTGTCGATGGCGTGACGGAGGGTCTCGGGAGTATTCCTCACGAAGAGACGACTTCAGAAGCTAGTCAAGAGGCTCATCGAGGACGATGAAATTCCATAACGCCCCGAGGAAGAGTTTTTTAATATCGCAGAGAAGAACGCAGTGAGACGAAATCTTACGTCAGGCGGCCTGAATATGAATCCCTAGAACTTCTTTGCTTTCTGTCGGAGATTTATCTTCCTTTCTTGCAGATGAAGGTGAGACGATGCGTGATACAGGATGAGCGGACATCGGCATGTATGATAAATGTAGCAGCCATTAGCACCGACCCAGAAAAAGGTCGACCACCCCCAGCTTCCCCGCCCCTTTCAATGGCTGCCTCGGCGATTTATGTCCGGCTAAACTACCATAGACACACCTAGTTGGTCACGAAGTGGCAATATTCTTTTCCTTCGCAGAGGCGTGTCACCCTAGAATTCCGTTATGCCCTTGCTCATTTGGCCTAATGCAGACTCGAGACTATCATGTGAGATTCGTGAGGTCTCCCTGCTGTCTATGTGCAAATGTCATAGGGTTTTCGATTTTAGGAGGATCCTATGAGACGATTTCACTAAACCCACGGACTTACCAAAATTCTAAATCCCAGGAGATGGAGATTCTGAATGCCCTTGTATTCCACAAAACCATACGACGCATATTTATGGCATATCGATAGACGTATTCAAAGATGCAGACTGAAATATTAGATATATTAGGGCTTCATGGATAACTGATATAAATTATGCTCTCACCTTTTCCCCAGTGGCGACGAGAGGACAGTCCTCGATCTTCTTCCATCCTGCGAAATGGATTCAGGATCATTGAAATCTCCATACAATACAATGGAAAAACTCATACCGACCCATTGTGAACTTCTCAAGATTCTTAATATTCCTTTTTCCTATTTACAGGAAGCATACTACCATAAGTTTCTATCCATAGAAAACTCAATAACCTCGATGAGATGTGTTTCTTTTCATATATTATCTCGACCTTCTTCGCCTTGACATTCAACGCTTTTTTTTTTCTGTAGGAAATCTTGCCTCGGTGGATTGCAGAGCCTCATCGAGACAGTAAAGCCAACAGAAAGAAGGGATCCTCACCCTTGATTGTCCTCGTGGTAAAGATGATTGGGGATGGAGGTGGTCGTGGGCCGAGGAGGCCGGGAGTTGTAGGAGAGGGGGTCCCCTCCGCTGGCCGGTGCGTCCGACGTACCATAATCCGGGCTCAAGTCCAGAGACCTAATTTCCGTGCGGAGACGACGGCATTAACGACTGTGGAACGACTCCAACGAACTGAGTGCCGAGGACATTTCGTAAAAATATAATCCAACGACAGTTTCAAATTTCCATACTAAATGGAGTATGGAGGCATGAAGGAAAAATCTAGTTTTTCCACGTTGCTCCTTTTATCTCGGTGAGTTTTGCTGTAAATCCTCTTAGTCCGCTTAGTTTCTAATATCTCAGCAGATCATTTGCTCATTTTGGTCACTCATGGGACGATGTTCGGCAATCTCAGTTCCCAGAAAATGATTCCCAGGATTTGTCCGTTCCTCGGCGAGCCAGTAGCCCGGAAAATCCAGTCAGAATGATAAAGATACGTGGTATGACTAATCTGAAGGAGAAAATATGCACATTTTTTTCCATAAATCCCAAATGGCCAATGCAAAATATCTTGAGTCGTGCCTGACAATGACACTTTTTATAAGAAAAACTTGGAAGAATAAGCATGAATCATCCGGGAAGTACTTCTATCTCAAATAATTCCTACTAAGCACTAGAACTTTTCTCTATGGGATGATAAAATTTTCATTCTGATTAAGCTTCGGCAATTCTTGCCAAACGAGAAAAGAGGATTGGGTCATATTGACGTCTTATTAGGTCCCCTTAAACTTGAGATCTAATGGACAGATGCAGTCCTTTCGTTCCGTGAGTCTTGGTCCAACGACTGGCTGGCTCAAACTTGGAAAGAGTTACTTTACGGTTCCTGGAATTCTCTGCGTTTGTCTTTGACTCTGAAAACTCGTAACTCTTTCTCGTGGTAATAGAATGGACGAATTGGATTGAGGACGAATTAAAGACGGTCATGATACCCTTCTCTTAAATATTACGAATGATAATGCTACATATACGTAGTTAGCTTTTCTGTATTATTACGAAAGAACTTTAGAGATGAAATCTTTCATCATACGCCTCTTCACCAAATTATGGGTCTACGTAGCGAAGCTTGATGATGAAAAGCATAAAAGAGGAAGGTTTTGCTGCAGTGTCACCCTCCAAAACATTCAACAACATTCAAACATTCAACAACAACTCCCCAAGTCTCTAAGACTTAGTCGCCACCGAAAAAAAAACCATAAATTTCCTTTCATGTGTGTGTATGTGTCAATAGCAAAATATGATGGCGATTTGCATACTGAAGTTCTTTCTATCACGTTGCTGATCCTGGTCTTTGGGATTGGCGATATTGTCTAATCGATACATATGATAGACGATACAAAAAAGAAACAAATCGCCCAGTCCCACTTTGCGAGACTGGCAGCCTGATTGGATAAGACAAGACTGGCAACTGGAAGTTTTGAAATCAGTAAAAAGCCTACAAAGTTTGTGTGCTGAGATCTGATAAGAATTCAATATGACTCAATCTTTTTTGCTCGTCCAACGGAAACTTTCGATGGGCTGGCTTCATCAGAGTGAACTTCGAATCATCCCATAGAGAATACTTCTAGCGCAAATGATGTTTCAACGCGGAACTATCCACGTTGTCTCAACAAAAGATAATTCAACGTTGTGCATATTTTTAATCATGAGCACACCCTCGAGTCCTCGACAGAAAACTGAGTCCTAAAACCGAAGCGAGATGGCGCCTAAGTCGTTCATTTTGGAGCTTCAATCCCTGATGCCAGCGTAATGAGTCCCCATTCTTTTTAGTAGACCCGACCTTTTCCCCATAGACGACTCAGCGAAAGGAATTGCAATTCCAGATTACATTCATCTGAAGAACTAACGCAGCCTAAGCAGACTCCAGACAAATAAGGCCTTGAGGTTGGAGGAAGGATGGCTCAATTAAAGACCTCACTCCTCTGTTTGGATAGGGGAGTACTTCTGCGTCTCTACGAAAATGAGAAAACAGTACATGTGGCTCTTCATCAGACACTAACCCCTTCGTAGACTAAGAACTATACATATGTGTATTTCAGGAAATTATAAAGAGTTCTTATTTGGCAAACGACAAAGCTTCATATGGTCACATCCAAGGTAAAGTAGTGCTCGGTGGGAGATCGAGAACTTCCAATCAAGATTATTTGTAGCGCAGGAGATTTCGCAATAATGCTGAGTAAGTATTTTTAAAACTTCATATTGAGAAATCGCTGAACCAGAGGTCACAAAGTTGAGAATTCGATGTTGACACAATTTGATTCCATCAGCATGTTTTCAATGTTGAACTGCGTCACATGTCATCATTGTCGCAGCATTAAATTAAATATTGTGGCGACGATGGGTAAAGAGTCGCTCTTTACCCATCGTCGCCACAACATACCTTGACTGAAAAACTAATTCGTGCTCAATGTTGACGCAACGAAGTTGGGCCAACAGGGAAAATAGTAAGGTGAGGATATGTTGCATTGGCCAATAGGGAATCATGGGGGGGGGGAGAATGCGCAGTAGGGAGACTGCTGTGACATGCGGTTTCACTCCCTCGCTAATTTTCTTTCTAGAACGTGCAGCATACAATCTTGCCTACATTTTAGATAAATAATCATAATAGTAAAACAATTCCAACGCACGCGCAAGTATTATTTCTTTGACCGCGAAGGTAGCTACTTGACATTGTTTTTGACATGCCGTCATTTCACATGACGGGCAACGTGTTAGAAAAAAAGCTCCGGATTAGACAGGCATTCATTATCGTGGAGAACGAGGAAGGTAGGCAATGTAGAGGAAGGAAATTTTCGTCTCATTATTAGAGAGGGGTAAGGCATTTGCATAATTTAGTCAGGGGCTAATTGAAGAACGAGGAAAGGGGAACCCTCAGTCAGCAACCACTCTTTCACATCAAGGTCATGATGTTGACATTATAGAAAGCAGAGAGGCATACCTCACCCGAATCCGTCCCCACATGCATGCGAATATAAGCTATCTGTCTATTTGTCTGTGCCAGTAGGGAATGAAATTAGAGAGCAGATATCAGCAAGACCTGGCCAGGTAGGGGAGCGGCATCAGTTCGCGAACAGGGAGCCAGTTAGCGAACGAGGGTCATGAAACGCGATTTGGCCTTTTGTTACTCTAGTTTCACACTCCATCCCAATTAATCAATCAATCAATTTTCTGCAGATACCGAAAGCTGGAGCGTGTAACTCGAGAAACAAATGGCCAAATCGCATTTCATGACCCTCGTTCGCTAACTGGCTCCCTGTTCGCGAACTGGTGCTTCTCCCCTAAGCATGGCAAAGCTTCCCTACCTCAAAACTTTGGAATCATGTCTAGTCTGATCTACATATAAAAGAGGAGACACTGGGAAGTGGTAGGTAGACTGGTTGACCTTTCGATTGAAACGAGTGAAGTTCACCTGATTAAATTAAAAACTCATTCCCCACAGAAACCGAAAGAAACCGAAACACACCTCTGAGGCGTCTGAAGCTGAGCGGCAGCGTTGAGGTACTGAGAGGCAGAGCTGTTGGGATGCTGCCCGATCGGGTAGCTCACATCGCTCGTGTAGTCGCTGTCCTCGGCTGGAATGAAGGAGGAAAAGTTTTGAGGGAGAGTTTTGAGAGATCCATCCCGTCCCGGCACCATCGATCACCGCCCCTGTCAAGCTCACATGTTCACTTTGTCCGACCGGAGGTCCTTTTGGACCCGATCCCGGATAAAGATTATCCTCCCCTGGTTCGCCCTTTCTAACACTTTCCGCCAAAAAAACACAATGAATGGTATGGGTCACTTACAATGAGTAGGGTGCATGGTAGTGAGTCGCCGTTGATGGGGGTCTTGAAGCTGGAAGGGATCTTGATGTAACATCATCGTGTTCAGCAGTTCTAACTTCTCCTGCAATGCCTCGTTGTCCCCAAATTCTGAACCCATCAAAGCCAAGACCATCAGCAATAAATACATTTTTCTCAAGCCCACCCCTCTCAGCTACACAAAGATGAAATGAGGTTCCATGCACGTTTTCTCTGACTCCACACAAAACGCTACTGAAATCAACATTTTTTAAATGTATGTCAATTAAATATTCTAAACCTTCCCATTTAATGGAATTACCATAAAGTTGTTCCAAAAGCAGGAACAATTTTCACAGTCCCCCCCTTGTAGTAAGGAGAGGGAAAAGTTTACCCCACGCATTCCTGTTTAATTTGCGACCTTCTAAGGCTTTAGATACCTTCACATTCTCACGACAAGAACTCCTTCGACGCTAAGAAGTTCATTGAACTTCTGCAGAAGGTCGACGTAGACAGAGGTAGGCAACCTCTTGCTCACTGGTATCTGGGCAGTTAGCTCGAAAATAGTCCGGCGATGGTTAGCTACAGTAATAAAAAATAAAACTGTAACCACCCTTTTAAACAGTATACTGTTAACATAATCCTTTTTAGAACCTCAGTAAGACGGAGAGAAATCATCAGGGAATGCAGTAGCTTGACATTCGCCAAGTCCCAAGGCTGTTCAATGGAGACCAGGTCGATGAAGCGTGAAAATTTGGATGATTGGATCTAAGGAATCGAGTTACTTAAACTAAGGTCAAGCTCAAAATAAGAATCCTCTTTCAACTTAGTCTGAAGTTGACCCTTCACTGGCCGCCATAATTGCAAAAAAAAATCAAATTAGATATAGTGCCAATTCTTAGTTTAAGAAGTGACTCGTTCAATTAAAGGTGGAAATAGTTAAGCCTGCAATTAGTGACTTCCTAGTTCTATAAATGAATTGTGGCGGTTTAACCACAAGTAGAACAAATTGGCCATCTGGAGTAACTATTAGGGAGCGGATTTTCATACATAAACAAGACCTAAAATATGTTCATAAATATACGTTGAAAACTGCCAAAATATACATGGAGTGTGTATGAGCAGGAAAATACGGAAAACATGCTTTTTAAAACAAAGAATTAATTTTTTTGGAAGAACCACAAAGTACATTTCATATCTCTAAGCTTCCCCTATTCCCTCAGAGTGGAGAAAGCTTGAAGATGAAAACAGGTACCTGCTGGATTATAGCTAATAAAGAAAGCACGTTTTGTCGGAAAACTTCATACTTTTCCGCCAAAAATCAGTGAAATATGCGTAAATATGCATATTTTGAGAAAAACACGAAAATATGAATTTTTATGCATTTTTTAAATGGTATCAACAGCTTCCTCTTCTAATAAAACATTCTCCTATCTGTGTTGCATGGACCTACAAGGCCGCATTTAAAATATGCATTTGCAATAAAACTTGCTCCCTTTTAATTACCCACTAGCAGGCGTAAACCATACTGTCTTTTTCAAGAATTCCCGGTACAGCAGGGCCCGAATCGTAGCTTGCAGTCCCTTCCAGAATAATGGAAGAAAGTGGAGGGGAAGGAAGGGGGTGAGGGGGGAAAGAGATTTGAATGGTGCTGGCCAAATGGACATATTTATCGTTCCTCTCTTGTCACGGTATCTTAAAGGGCTCCAGAAAAGAAATGGCTCGTCTGAAAATTCGTGCGCATGCGTGATCTGAAGGATTCCATTCGGGGAAGGTGATCTATCTTGTTCTGCTTCTTCCTTCCATTTTCCGCACAGCCCAGGGAGCAAGAAATCACCTAGTCATGTCTCGGATATGGAATGATCCAATCAGAAACGGGAACCACGGAAGTCCCACTTCAAGTGGCAAAATTGATTCCGTAGTTCATACCCATCGATATGATGAATTTATAATCCAATAAATGACGGAATGCGATGAATCCTTTCCAGTTAGAGGATTTCCGTGTCGCCTGCCAACCGAAAGCACTGCATGAATAAAAGACGCAGAATTGCCCAACCCAGCGCTCCCAATCCATCGTCCCAGACCCACACCTGGGTCCCTTTGATCCATGGGTTTGAGGACCTTGGCAAATCCTTACCTCGTAAGAGCAAGACTTGAAATTTGCCCTCGCCCATAAAACGATACAAGAAGTCTCTTCTGCGGGGCTTCTTTCTCCATCCACCTTAATGTCAGTATCACCATTGGCGATGCGCAAAATACTGAACCGATTCACTAAACATTTGTCATTTTCATGCAAGGTAAGCTAAAAATGATAAACTCTCCATGAAGCCAAAAGTCTTTTGAACGTTTTGCAAGAAAGAAACGGACACAGTTATAGGCAAAATTTGTTTCTGTGTGTTGAGATTGGTTGAACATGGTGATTATAAAGTATGTATCCTACTTCACGGTGTTATAGCGCCTAAATTATTGGGTGTAGGATGATTTCGTAGTACAGAAATGACAATTGGCACCTTGGGGAATCAATCCTAGCACTCAGCAAATCTTTCCACAGTGATGCTATTATCATAACTTGCATATTGGCCAGATATGCCGAAGGAGAAATTTGATAAATACGCTGTTGATGCCAAAAAACAGACAAATACGAGCATACGTCACGATGGTGACAGGAGTGCAGAGCGGCTAGAAACAGAAGTTTTCTACACAGGTGGTATGCCTTCAATGCAATTATTCGTTTAAGGCGCCCCTGTAGCAAGATCTACTAAGTGCTGCAAGTATGGAATGGTTGCATCCCCGCTGACGAAGACTTTGAAAGTACTGGAATTGATTCCCCATGTCACTACTGTTCCCCGTGTCACTCGTTGGCTATGGCACCATCCCATAACAGTTTAGGCGCTATAGCGTTTCGAAGTGGGATACTTTCTCTATAATCACCCTGTATATTCGGCAGTGCATCGAAGACGCCGAGTCCTATCACAGTCCTAAATTAAAACGAAAATCGGAATTTCATGCTGTTGTTAGATCCATACTTTCTGTTAGGTCTGGGAAGGTTCGTGAACAATCCTCACCTAGACCATCCTTATGTGAAGATATATATTGAATAATTTATTAGACAGCAGAAAGGTCCCTTTTTGCCTAGGCGCTAGGACGTCACCTAACAAGCTCTGATATATCTTACCCTGCCATGCAAAAGTGAGAAATTGGTTGCAAGCGATCGAAGAATAAAAATCCATCAACTTCATAGTGATAGAGAAGGATGATGATAAATGGGGGCGTTGCGCATCGGATCGACTCAGCGCCTCTCTTCTCAATGTCCTACTCGCACCAAGCCTCCCCCGAGACTCACTTCAACTTCGTGGGTTCTAAAAGAAAATGGAGACTACTGGATCCCTACCGAAGGGAGTCTCGAATCGGCAGTCGAGAAGGATGCAGTGTCCGGTCGGAGTCTTCGTCCCCACCACCTCCCCGTTTTTCATCTCCAATTCCGCATCCAGAGATAGCCATTCCCCTTCCCGTTCCTGTCAATCCATCAAACCATCAATCGGCGAATAAATATAAGAATGAAAGGGGTGGACGACACAGCGCATCTCCCACGTCCCATTTCCTTATATCAGGGCGGCGTTATTAATGATGGAGTATGTGATAAATGATGATGAAGATGGGGAATGGGAATGGGAATATAAATAAATACCTCGTTGGAATAAGAAATCCAGGAGAGTGGAAGGAAATGGTATCCGAGTGCTTTGTCCCAGATCAATCCCTTGGTCCACACTTCGATCACCAGACCCACGTCCAACCGACTCGTCTCGCTGCATTTGACCAACAAAAATACTTGCAAGCAGTGTGGGAGGGAAATTCCGAAATAAGGAAGCAAAAGAAAAAAAAAGAGATTTATTGAATGGTGGATCATCTTCGCCTTTACATTCCAGGGTACTAGGTCCATTAGTATGTCTGGGACCATGCAGCAAGTACGCCACTATTTCAATTTAAACCTGCGAAGCATTCTTATTCTGATCGTATACTGGCTTTATGAGTTCATCTCCTCTCTCTGCAGAGGAAATCTAGCCTCGTTTCTCCTTGTCGTGACGGGACTCATGGTCCTATCTTGCTGATTAGATTTTTTGCGTCATCACGGAAGAGAACTCGGATCACAAAATTAAGTTCTTCCATGCCCCCCTACCCAACCCACTCATTACACAGGGTGGGGCAAAAAATCGGAGACATTTCTTTTTCCAAGCCTGATTCGAAAGCAAAATGCCTTGGAAAGTCAATTTGACTCTAATGATAGAATGATGATTCTTTAGGAACCACCGTCATGTTTTGCGCCAATTTGAGCGTTTTTCTTTCCACAGATTCAGGAGAACCATTGTAAATTAATGCGGAGGATTTATGCATAACTTGAAAAAAAAAAATCTATTGGTGAGAAGATGAGGGTGTGAGGAAAATGCTAAACTGCCAGCGTGAGGGACTAGGGAAAGACTAAAGGAAAAAAGGTGGACTCGAGAAAGTGATCCGTGAGACCGATGTAACAGGAGACACTCCACGTCGGCCTGGTAATGGGCGCTCAAAGTCGGCGAGAACAGATGCAAACATCGCCATAGCGGAGGAGGCTGTTTGCAAAGAAGGGGGAAGACTAGGAGCAAACTTGATCCTCAAGAGAGACGAGCATGGAATATCTCCATCTCAGGGCGAAGAATCTCGCAGAAGGACATCCAAAAACTGAACTTCTGAAGTATCGCGTGTCAGTAGCTCAGTGACGGGGGGGGAGGGGGGGATAAGGGGCAAGCAGAAGCGATTTGAGCACGCCACACATCTACAATACAAAATACAAAGAGGACTCCACGCAACCAGTAAAATGATACGGTCGTCTTCCTTTCCATCTAACAGGATATTTTTCCTACAAAAGCATTACACCAGAGAGTGATAGTATCTGTCACAGTTTCCAAGTTGGGAAAATTTTAGACTTGGAGCAAAGATTGATTCTGGTTATTATTGTACCAAATGCTTAGCAAGAGATTCACGCTCGATATTAAAAACGTTATTGGAGAGAACTATACTCTCTGGCATGATGGTGCACCTTCTCACAGATCTGCAGCAACAATGCAGTTCCTCAATGCGAGGACAGGGGACTTCCTTGAGCCAAAGACATGGCCACTCAGCAGTCCAGACCTCAATTCGGTCGATCACGTGGTGGAAGCAATTTGGCAATGGTGTCCACATTTGCAGGTGGACAACCACGCACTGAGCAAACTTTTGCGTAGAATGGGCGATGAAATGTGGGTTTTCACTTCCATGATTTGGCCTCCATGCTGCCTCCACTTAATAAAATCAGGTTCTCCTTTTTTTGGCTCACCCCGTAATAAAAAATCTCGAGCGGGAAGAGAGTCTCGGCAGGTGACAGGACCCTTAAACACTCCGGAGCTCAGATTGATGCCTTTCCTCTGATAAGAAGGAATAGAAGGTAATGCAAGGGCACGGAAGCATTCACGCTGAAGATACCCCCTCCATTAGATCAAGAACGGTTTGAACGGGTTCCTTCGTGAACTTCACCCCTCCCCCCTCTAATAGGTTTCGAGATGAGGGAGAGGAATGTAGAAAAAGGAAACAAAAGAGACAGCGGAAAGATCAGAGGTACAAGAGTGGGTGTAAGAAGACGAAAGGAATCGACCCACGAGTTGGTGCATGGAGATGCACACCCACGAGCCTCTCCTCCGCACCTGCACCCCTCATTGAACATTTCCCATGAGTCATGGGAAATGTGTTCCCTTTTACCCCAACAGTTCCACCATGACTCACACCCACGTGATAGACAGATGCACTCGAGAAACACCGGAAGGGGGGGGGGGGGGCTTTCAAGTCAACTTTCCTGCAAATCACCCCTCGGGGGACTATCTCCATGCGAAGCGAAAATGATCTCGTAGCGTGATCGATGCCGCATGTTGCCTTTTTCCCTCTCTTACCTCCCTGGAAAGCACATTTACTTTTTTTTTATAGCTTTGATGAAGCTGTACTGCCTCGTCCCATCTACTCTTTTTTAAGGCCCAGAGAAATGGAAGAATGCAAACATGACGGAAGCATCCAATTATTTCCTCGCAAGGGTCTGGCAAACCCGGAAAATTGCGGATCCTTCGATACAGTCACGAGATCGCAAATGAGCCTAAATGCCAATTCACTCATCTTCCATTAAGTCCCGCGCATCTCCACGAAAAACGCTCTTGCATAACTCGCTCATTAACCCTTTCACTCCCAAGCCTAAGTAGATTGAATATGCATAGAATATTCCCAAGCTAGTTTTATCTCAAATTGCAGAGTGATATTTAAAAAATAATAATAAGCTCAATTTAACTATTAACACATTAGCTATTAGCACATAAAACCAGTTCCGAAGATAGGCACCTTGGGAATTTTAGCCGAATATGAAGAGTCGATTTATCGGCACCTTGGAATTCAAAGGGTTAATATATGACTTTAATCATTTTATCCAATGGTAACTTCATTGGCCAGGAATTCCATTAATTATTGTAAGTGTGTTTCATCATCGGTTCCGATTTCCATGGACAGAGGGAACTGAAATCGAGTTGGCTTGAAGGGCATGCCTAACTCAATTACTTCGTGATGCGAGTGGAAAGGAAAGAGGAGAATAGTGAAGTAAGACTCCCTTATTGCCAGCCACGGAATCCACGAGGATTATTAGGGAAGAGATTGAGGGGGGAAAGGAAGGGATAGAAAACCATTTCATGGGGAAATGCGATCGGGCTTGAGCGCTTTCGTCCCTTCGACTCTTTTCCCAACGATTTAGTGCCTAAGGGCATCCTGAACCTTTTTTTTATTCTTCAAGGATTGAGCCGTGCAGCTCCTAATAGACCTAAATTTCAAGTCCCGAATAAAACAGAGCTGGAACTGGTGCAACAACAAATTTTTCGCGTAAGGACGAGTAGTTTTTCTGCATTCCTGCACTCTTAGAAAAGAGTGAGCAATTTCTGAAAAAGGGAGCAAAACTGGAGTTAGCGATTTCATTCTCTAAAACGAGGAAGTACAATTGATAACTACTCTCCTACATGAATCAATAACTTTTTTAAGAGTTTCAAACTAGTATAAAAAGTTTTTGGTTATTCGCAAGAAAGAGAGAGGCGAGCGGCATTACTTCCTCGTTTTTAGGGAGTAGAATCGCTAACTCCAGTTTCGCTCCTTTTCTCGGAAATCGCGCACTCTTTTCTACGAGTGCGCTTATGCCGGTTGAAGCCAAGAAATACTGTACAAGTACATTACATCATGACGATGGAGTGGAAGGACCCGAGCCACTTTCCTTCTTGACGGTTATGACAGGTCTCATCCGAACTGGGAAGGCCTGAAACGCCTTCGTCGAACCCATTTTCTCCCAGGAATTCATGTTATCTGCACCGGAAAGGGCGTCTGCGGAAGATGAGAGTGGAAGAGCCCATCCAGGCGGGGAAATACGCGCAGCCTGCAAAGGCGGCCGTACCGCCTATCTCCCCGGCGCCTAGGTCTGCAGAAGATATCCAGACTTCCACTTCCATTCGCTTCATCAGGAATGGAACTAACTTCTTTCCAGGAAAACCCTCCATTGACTTTCCCGAATCAATAGTAACTTCTTCTTCCTGCACGGCAGGGTGTATCACCTTGATGAAAGACGAGGCATCCCGTGGAGTAGGATCTATTGCGATGTCTATCGGTGACCTACTTGGAGGCCTACTTTGCAAATGGGGGCGCCTTGAAGCCGAAAACAAATCGTAGAGCTGCTTAACACCGAAACCATATTCATTATCGCCAGAAAAACTTTACAGATCGGGAAAAAACGCGAAACTCCGCCAAACTAAATATCTTCCAACTTCTCTAGGTCATCAACGGTGAGAGAAAATATGCATGCATGCGAAGAACACGCTATGAATATATTAAAATATCGTCACAGTGCAGCATTGCTAACATTACTGGCTCTTTGAACGTTCCTTAACTCAGGTAGTTACTTGAATGCGGGGGAAATGTCACTCGGACGACCATCTCATCAGCCGTGAGACTTGAGAGAAAAATGAAGGCATAGCATGACGGTAGCCACGCCTCATGAGATCGTTGACCTTTCCCCTTTTCTGCAAGCTTCCATCATTGTGCATTTTTCATCGAACGAGGAGGAATCATCAAAGGAGAATCGTAACAATGCTTACATGAAAGTTTCAGCGGATCCCCCTTATGAAATTGCAACGGCGTGACGAAGTCTTCCGATTTTTTTGCCAGTCCTGAAAGGAAGGCACCTCCTTCGTGCTCAGACAGAACCGTAATTTAGATGGAGAAACCATTACGGAAAATGAGGCAGTGAAGAGGAAATTGCAAAGAGCCAGCCAATCTCATAGTGCTGAAGACGACAAAAGATATGATGATGGATGAAAGCTTCTACCGAAGTGTCTACATTCCATGGAGGAAAAAAATGTGCAAAAATTTTTTAATATCGTGATTAAAAACTATCAAAAAGAGAAATCTCCTCATGCCTGTAAATGGGCACTGAAGAAAATAAAAAACATCGAAAACGGATACTCGGTCCTTATCACAAAGAATTTTCACATCCTTGCATCCTTGCTCGACGATGTGTATGGCCCTGATGTAATTAGGTCGCATGCCTCCAGTGCTTTCATGCACGAGCGGGTTGAATTCACTCTCGCATATCTTGGAACACGATGGCTCCTTCGCGGATTATCGATTTAAGGAATATCGAGGCAAAAAGCATGTCTCCCTGAGTCAGCTCCTAGCAATCCAGCTGCAAACTTGACAGATCAACAATTTTCAAATAATGGACCTTGAGGTTTCACGAATGATATTGGCTGACTGTAAAGTTTAGTTAGCAAGTAAAGCTTTGTGGGTAAGTAAAGCTAACTATAACAAAGTTCGGCGGAAAATGACAGTTGAAATTTCAAACCTCTTATTTGTGTTTTCAGGTGGGTAGAAGGCCATAAGGCTGCTTGACACATGTGGAAACCCTCTAAATAAAAAAATTAAATAAAAAATTGTTTCTGCTAGTCTTTTTCATTTACAATCTTGTGGACACTTGATCTTAGGTCATTTTGATAGCCTATAAACTTCGCCTCGTACCGTGTTCTATGCTTATACAGTATTATTTCTCTATCCATGCTTACTCGAGCAGAGACAGATTTTGGTTCGCACTGTTTTAATTACCGCTCCACGTAGACCTAATTAGCAGAGAGACAGGGGTTGTTCTCGGTCGAGGAAGTAGATTAGAAAATTACTTCTGCCCCGCGTATAAAAAATAGGTCGCCATCGGAGGGGGACAAGGAATGGGCCGGACATCAATCATCCGGTTCTGGCAGCTTCGTTTCCTCTATCTCCCTCTTCCCATTCAAAAAGCACATCACCGAGTCCTGTGTACCTAGATCTATTCGAATGCGGAATAAAGAGAGGGAAGGCAACTCACAAAAGGAAGTCCTGCTCCCATGCCGGGTCCTCCCCCTTCACGGCCACCGTGGTGCTCTTCACATTCTGGAGCCTCAAGGTCACGTAAGTACTCACCTGAGAGACTGGAAATGAGGAAAGAGCCGGTAAGTCGATCATTCAGAGAAATCGATTTCAATCCGAATTCCATCTCCCGACAAGAAGTTGGGAGGAGGAATTCGGAGGAATTGACGTCAGAACGACATCAACGTCACTTTACGACTCTATAAAGGAGATGAGAAAGTCCTGACTATGATGGGTCGGGGTTAATTGCGAATTCTGGAGTGGAAGGGCAAGCAAAAAAAAAAAAACTCCGGTACAACATTCTACACTTGGCTGGCTGGCCATTAAGAGCGATGCCGATAAGCCATGGCCACGGAAATAACGCTGGCAGAATTCCAACAGTCTCCCTCCTACATAAAGCTGGTATCTCATGTCACCGTAGAAGGGGGGTAAATCCAATTGGCCTCCTTTTGCGCCTCGATTCTTTCCGTGACAGAATTTTTTTTATCCCCGCGTATGTAAAGGCTGTTGGGTCTCTGAAGGAGCACTTGGACCAGGAAGTCACGCGTAAGTCGTATACGATAGAAGCAAATATAAATATTTTATCTGAAAGCTCTTCCTGCAAATAGGTGCTCTGCATCGCGTCCATCATCGATAAATAAACGACGACTCCATCGATTTGCGCAAATTCGAGACATCATCGGAGCGACTTTTTTTTTTTTCAAGGCAAAGAAAAAATATATATTCTGGTAGGTAAAATATATACCTGCTCCAATTTTCTATTTTCATCTGTTTTTTTTTCCGAGCACTGCAGTCTTTGATGGCCCTACCATGTCACAATTGAACCAAGGAAAAGCTGTCATAAGAGGACGAAGAGAGGATGAGTTTGTAATGAAGAACAAAGGCGTTCTTTGTCTCCGCTCTCAGTCTCGGGGATGGAACAATAGGATTTCCTCCCAGGCAGTTCATATCGCCCAGAAGACTCCGAACGGGATCTCCCCGAACCGACATGACCATCAAAGAGAACCCTTCAGCAATGCATCGAGGACTCACGAGATCGACCTTCGATATTTTCTCTCTGAACAAAGGTATCGTGCATAATGACGAACCCGAGGCGGCGACTCCACGCAATCCAGTCGCATAGACGTCAAATCGCGTGATCGAAAAGGCGCTGCGATTCCCAAGGTACTTTCCATGTTCCGTTCTGGGTTATTAGTCGCGCAAGGACACCGTTAATGAATGAGATTCAGGGAGAGCGGAGGAGCAATTAGCGCTGTTTGGATGGAGTCGCTGCCTCTCCGTCGCGAGAGGAACAGGCACGGGAAGACCGCCTCCTGTCTATATATGACGTCAATGCTGCATCTTCCTTCCCACTCGTGTGGATGCGAGGCCTCCCTCCCATCCGCAATTTACTTTGATCCCTTTTTTTCCTCTTCGCTTCGCTGCGGATTCGAGGTCGGGCGAACATGTGAAGGGGTTTACTCGTTAAAAACCTCCGGAAGGCGGAAAAGATTCGTCAAAAAAGGATTCATGAGACGGGTTGCAGCTGTTGCATCAGGAGGAAATGTTTCATTCGTGAGAGGTATGAAGTTGAGAGAATATGCCATGGTCACTCATGAATACGAGTGTTTTGAATCGATCCGGTCTCCTTCCTGTTTTCCAGACCGATTACTTTCGCTTCATCTTCAACTGATTGCAATGCATGCATTCTGCAAGGTCCCATCAACATGCAAAGAGATTCCCTTCCGCGGTTTCTCATGAATATGATAAAAACAATCTTATTATTTACGTTCCTTGTTTTCATCGTTCTCTGTTAAAACAAGTTTGCGATCGAGAACTGATCGTCTGCCAGCAAAGTAAGCTAGAGTTTCGCTATATCGGGAGTCCGAATGCGTGCCTCGTGGGAAAAGAACCGCTCATGTGGAGAAAACCGATAACGCTGGGTATTGACGTCACGATCTTATATTGGGGTCAGCGAAGGAATAACTGACTTTTCTGGCACTCGAGCTGACACTGAGAGCTCAGCTGACTCAAAATATCATTCAGATTCCTTCTCTTCCCTATTCCCCATCTAAAAACAAGCCACAGACTTCGATCGGTGATTGACACCTGCTCCGATCGGTATCGACACCTGCACAGATCGGTCAGATCGCGTGCTGCGATGACGGAAACCTGCATGTAATTGAAAATTCCTCTTTGTCTCTCATGTGACGTAGAACACTTAGCGTTTCGTGCAGGAGTCTCTCTGTCTCCTCCAACCGAAGCGTGAAATAATGCATGAGTCCTCGTCGCCAGCCGCCCTCAACGCAGAGGGGAAGGGGGGAAGGGGGCTGCTGGAGAACGTCACATTTTCAGGAATTCCACGTTATTCTGTCTAGATTTTATTTCTGCCTCTAACTGAATCTGAACTGGAATTTAGCTGAAACACAAGTAATCTGCATTTTTAATGTCTTGGAATTTTCCCTTTCTAGCTAATTCATTTAATAGTTAAAGCCCGTGCCTCACATAAACTTGGCATTTTTCGGGAAAATTGTTATCCAAAATCCCATGAGGGCTGCAAATCAAGTGATTGTGTTAATACCGCGAGGATCGCAATTCTTATTAAGTCAATTCGAAAAATCACGAGAGTGAATGGGAAAATGTAAGAATTAATTTCTAAGTCACTGCATAATGCTTTAAATAGAACAAGTTCAATGCCTTTCAAGTGCTGCTCTACAATTTCCAGAGTAACCTGACTTTGCTCAAAATTAGGCGCACCTCTCATCTCGGCAAACGTTTATCTCTCTTCCCGGCATTGGTGCTTCCCTATCAGTATGCTGCAAGCCTACTCCTGAAAAGTTTTGCCGTTAGGTATGCCCTGTTCAAGGAATGAAAAAAAAGCACGATCCAGTCTTTCTTCCTTTATTTTTGCAGCCTTCTGACGTGATATGAGGTTGAAAAATGAGCGATCACTGCGACACAACTCTCAGACACATCATTATAATCCTGAATACACTAATAGCTCTGTTTCTACCACACTTTCGTGAAACATCATCATCATCATCATCAACATAAATTTTGTGCTTAAAAGTCTGTGAAAAAAATCTACGTCATTACATACACTCGGAATCGGTCATATGAAGTGAACGAAATTGTTAATTCCTCAGAGAGGGTGTGTAAAATCTGCTCACCTATAAAGGCGACAATGCTGCCAGCATTCATTACCAGTTAGAGGTCTGGGGAGGGTCAGCAAGCCCAGTCCCCAGGTGGGTGCAATAATTTTGAAAGCGACAGCCCTTCGTACCTCTCTTGAAAAATTAGCCGTACTTTATCAGTTCATTCCAGCAACTGTGCTTTAGATGCCTGTCGGTAATAAAAAAAAAATAAATATCAGATGCAAAGCTGAAACTTCACGCAAGTGTAAAATAAACAGCTTTTAAAGCGTTCAGTACTGCAATGCTACACCTGGAATGGTGTAGGAACTGGACCGCAATAACCGCCACTATTTGAACGTCCCACGCAGGAAACCCACTATCGGTAAGCATTTCATGATTTTCCAATACGCAGCAGCTATAAACTTCATTCATGCCTTCGCGTCCCATCGACATCATCATCATCCAAACCAATCATCCAAACACTCCTATGCGTTCGTGGGTCATTCATTAAGGTACTCACGGTACTCAGACTGAAGTATACTCCTCAGCTCAGAACTGACACCTCGGGCAAAGTTCGAGATGCAAAAACGGCCCTTGTTCAGCAAGCCTTGATTTGAGAGCATTAGTCTCGGAACAAATTTTCTAGTTATCAGGCAAGGCTTCCCTTACAAAACGTCCACCTCCCATGTGGATTTGGAACCGGATGGATGTCCCCCTAGGCGGTACTTCCACCTGTTGGAGCGATGTCCACCCGGGGGAAAATCCACCGGGAGGGCAAATCCACCTGGCTGGAAATGCATGTGCGCGAATGGATAGATGGATTTCCTCCGGGGGGGACGTCCACCTGGTTCCAAATCCACCCCCTATCCACCTAGTTGTTTGACTAGGTGGATAGGGGGTGGACGTTTTGTAAGGGTTCTGAACGGCTCTTTCCTATTCTTATATCAAGGCTTCCTATAAAGGAGCTCTTTCCTCATTCAGGACTCGGCCCAAGATGTCGCTTCAGAGGTGAGAAGTTTGCCTCAGTCTGAGAATTGTGAGTGCCTAAATAAATAGTTGATGGGAATGCAGGGCGATAAGGAGTGAAAACGCTTTCACGGGAAGTGCAGTTCGTAGCTTTCACTTATTGGAAAACAAAAAAATCCTTGCCGAGACGTATTGATCGCTCCAGGAACCAACAGCACCAAGGCATGCTGCAGATGTAACGACGATAAACTGGAGTCGGTAAATCGTGAAACCAATGTTCAGTTGTAAATCGCGTGAAAACCACTTAAAAACCAGTTTCCCCCATGTGTTTCGCCATTCGCAATTCTTTTTCGACCTGGATGACATTTTCTTATTCAGGTTCATTTCTCGTTTAGTCTCAGTTTCTGTTCAAATAAAATTAAATAACAGCGACTTTTCACGTGTTTATTTTTGGTAGTTAGGCTATTGCACTGAAATGAAAAAGGAATTTTATGCTCCCGGTTTAGCTTCAGTTGGCCTCAAGTTTCTGTTTAATTGAAGATACACTGAAATCCGAGATACTCCGATTGAGCTGCATCGTCTGAGGACGACCATATTTTATTGGTGTTTCCTATAACAGAGCGAAAAAAATTCGTGGTGAAAAAAAAAAAAACAACTTGACAGAGGGGATCCGGGGGACTTTATTTTTAGCTTCCCATGTATATTACCTAGAATTGGCCGAGGCAACAGTTCTGGACCACAACATCGTAACGGAACTATATCGGGACGAATCGAAAAGGATTAATAAAAGACTGCCCTAAACGGAAACCGAAACCGAATGAAAAGTTGCTTCCTTGCACGTTTGTTCCGTTTCGACTTCGTTTCGGAAACCGTGTCGTCCCTGTCATGCAGTTACATCGTTGCAATAGTCAGGAACATCCGATCTGATGGGTAAACTTTTTGGAAACCCGTACCGAACTACCGTGCCTATTATTATTGGCATGAGGTAGGGCGGGTGAGAACCGAAAAGGAATTAGCGACTCTTCCCCCACCGGAATAGTTGAGTTCAACGTTGAACGGGGAGAACGTTAAGGCAAACGCTTTTTGTCTCCAGCCATGATGACTGTACCATAAATATTTATGCTCTCTATAAATAAGCGAGACTGCAAAAATGACAAGGACTCAAAACGAGAAAGGAAACTTCAGCCTGTCATATGTCAGCATGATGAAATCTCTCTCTTTCTAGCCCCGCTCACAATTTGGCACCCATCCATCGCATAAATCCATTTGTTGCAAATAAACCAAATCAATTCGTCTCAAATGTAGCAGAACGGCTCAGATGACCACGTGCCGCCGATAAGGAACGGAAACTGGAACGACATAGAGTGCTAAGAGCCGAACCGAAACGAAAATAGCCAGTCGACCCATTGTCCTTTATTGCACAGAGCGACGACACTAACTAGTTTTCGTTTGGCATCTGGCATTGCAAGACCTCTGGGTAACAGATCCCTTGCTGCCCGTCAAAGATCCTCATCTGGTCAAGATCAGACCATCAAAAACCTACAGTACGATGAAATTCCCCTTTCACGCGATGCATCGTGGCGACGGTATCGATTGAGAGACGATGGTATTTACAGTATCGCGTTCGGATAGTGTTCCTTGGACGACGGGGAAAACCCGTCGATCAAGATTAGGGCTCCCGATAAGCCAGACCATGAGCAGATGTGTGCATGTCCCTCTCACGCCAGGCTTATCAGGCAGTTATACATTGATCGAACTGTAGGAAATTTGATTTTGCTGGCATTTATCAGCGGTGGAAGAATAATTGAAAATGTCAACCTTATACGTCGGCGCATAATTGAAGTTTCTTCCTCAAGTTGTCTTCCTGCACAGGCGGAATCAATAAGCGCGGTAGCGCCCATTACCTTTCTTCAACCCCTTCCCGCGACAAAATTCAACCGTCTCGTATTCCTCTCTGAGAGCATAAACAGTAACAAAAGTTGACATACTTCTTCCTCTCTCAACACAGAATCTCTCCGCAAATTTGAAGCTCCATCTCCCCGGGGTTGTGGAGATCACTGAATCTCGCTTTTCGGAGATGTGAATTTCGTTCCGGTATTTTTTTTTTTCTCCCCCTGGGTGGCCGCTCCTGGGAAGTTTTTGGAGGAAAGAGACCAACGAAACGAAATATATTGGCCTGTAGGTGACAAAAAGCGTCCTTTTCGATGCTTCCAGAGCACCATTTCGCCATGAAAAATGAAATTAGATGCCGTTCATTTAGGCTTAGCGAGATGGCTCCAGTCCCGTCCTCCAGTGTTGCCGGATATCGTGTCTTAGTTATCCAAGATTCATGACGTCTTCGACCTTAGTATCGTTGTCTGGATCGTCTCTTTTTAATCTAGGAGACATTATTGTGCTGAATTCATGGGATGAGCTGAGATTGAAGGGGTGGTTTGCAGTGGCCGATGAATTTGGTGGAATACGGAGATTCGGACATCCCTAAATTAACATGATGGCGGCCAGTGAGTATGTCATGCTTTCTTTCTAAATGCACTTTCTTCTCAGAACGAGTCGAGACGATTCGAGGAACTCTGGATAGGCCTAATGATCCCCAACCGCACTGAAATGGCTCATGAAACTCGAAAAAGACCTACATTCGGTCTAACGTTACACATTCTCTGTTAAATGGGCCACGAGAGACTGAATAGGTCTGCGATTGGCCTAACTTACACGTCCTCAACGAGGTGTCTCGAAGACGAGGGATTAATCCTTATAGACCTAATTGGTCCATAGGCCAAGTATTGAGTGTCTTTTGAGCGAAAAAATGTAGACCTAGGCCTGACCCGAAGACAGTCCGTCGGTTAAACCTAGGCCTAACGTTACTGAGTTCCGTAGAGAAAGAGGGGTTGAGGTTGAGGTTGAGGTTGAAGAAAGATAAAACCATTGAAAATTGGTTTTCACAATACTACATAGTCTTCATAAAAAGACTCCACTTAGAATGCTCATGAGAGATGCCTTTTTTCGTCTTTATTTTCTTGGGGTCACAGAGAACAGGTTGATCAACGTTAAGCACACCGGTACCTATGCATGTAGCAAAGAAGAATTATCAGCAAGCATGGCGTTTCGAATCAAACAGCCTGACAATGTAAGGACAGCGACAACCTTCTCCACGGTTACAGGCAACAAGCAATAAGGCCATAAGCGAGCAGTTCGAATGACCATGACTGTTGAGCTGCCGACTCGCTTCTATCGAAATAGCCGCTCCGAATTCATTTACTGCGAAGCACTCTGGTGGATCAGGCGGAGTAAGTGATGGAGAAACATGCAAAAAAAAAACAACTCAAAAGAGAGGGTTGAGAGGATCCTGACCACGGGGATTCCGCCCGTGCAGAGAACAAATCTGAATGTTGTAAGTCCTCGTGTTGAATACGGCACAATTTGAAGGGAGTTGTCAAGACCTAGAATTAAGTTGGAATGCAACACTCCGTCAAGAATGTGTTATTCTTCAAACATATTCAAATCAATGCAAATATACATTCCCCGCCTCATAAACATTTTTTTTTCGCCGTATCTGAACAACGGAATAATGGATATCGATAGTTCAAGCGCCCTTGGAAGGCCCGTGTGTCCATAAGCGAAAACTCCCAATGATATTTTTTTTTCTAATTAAGCCACGCTACCAATTCCTTTTAATTCTGCATATGGTCAAATTCTCACACTCCTTAAAGCCTCTTCTAATTCGATTCAATCAGTTGTTTTTACACTTGGAAAAAAAAATCGTAGACCCTTAAATCTTGTCATGCCGACTGGAGAAGAATCTTCATGGCAGTTTATTGTAGTTACTGCATCGATCATATTCCGCTTCGAGCTATGGAAGTATCAAAATTATTCCAGCCCTTCATTTTTACACATCTTGTCTGTCATGACCGGAGTTCACTTTGACATCAGAAGTGTCATCAACCGGCACTTCTAAAGCTAATCAACAGTTCATACGCAAGCCTCTTTTAATACTCTGAATACCATATATTTTTATTTAAAGGAAAGGACTATTCAAATCAAAGCAAACACATTAATCGGTGGAGCAGGAATGGCTTCCTAATATAATAATAAAAATTTTGCGGGTTGGTCTAATTGCGAGGAAAATTGCACTTAGAGTGTCACTGTATGGCCCTCCTTTAGGATGTGGAGAGACTTGTGTGATGCGTGACAAGCAAGGGGTTTCGCTTCGGGTCCAAGCAAAATGGGGTATTAAAAAAAAGAAACTACTTGCGTTCTTTTTCAAGTTCTTCAAGAAGGACATGATTGCGGTCAGTGATTCATGCTTCACCCGTAAGGAAGCCAAGGAAATGAAGGGCTTCCGACGACCGAGGCCAGAGGAACGACTCAACCCGGAATTCATCCATACAAGAAGCAACGCAAGCAGAAGCAGCAGCGAAGCGAAACTACAATCATTTTCAACGTCGAAATCCATGGGGGTCTGGGCAGACGTGGCGAAGATCCAACAAGACCCGAAGAGTCGATTCAACTCTGAGGACAGTCTTGCCTTGCTTGCTCGGATCGCCTGCAAAATTCGCCGTCGATCGGCGACTGCAGCGGGATGCGAAGCACAATCGTAGGTGAAAATACGTCGAATTCGGATCGACTTCGTGAGTTCCCGGTCTCACGTCGTACTTTTCGA